CTCAGCGGAGGAGCTCCGCTCCTGCAGCGGCATGCCTATATGGCGGGGTTTAGGGTTTAGGGTTTAGGGTTTAGGGTTTAGGGTTTAGGGTTTAGGGTTTAGGGTTTAGGGTTTAGGGTTTAGGGTTTAGGGTTTAGGGTTTAGGGTTTAGGGTTTAGACCCCCGAATAGTAAGACGCCCTTGTAGTGAGAGACCCCAGTAGGCTCCCCTGCTTTCGGAAGCCCTTCTTCTCACTGACCTCTGGAACGGTCATCCCTCCGGGGACGTCTCTATTTCTCCTTGGTAGCCCATTGGTACCCTCTACCCCTGTTTTTGAGTTCTGGGTTCCCTTGTAAATTAACCAACCGACAAGAGGGTGCCATTACAGATAATATGGTTACTGGGCTACTAAGACACCATGAGGTCTGGCTTAAGAATCTTGCGATCATCCTCAGTAACGTCACCGAAGCCCCAAAACTCGAAGGTTGGGATGTGAGTCCAAACCCTAAACCCTAAACCCTAAACCCTAAACCCTAAACCCTAAGCCCTAAACCCTAAACCCTACTGCTGGGCTAAGGCAAGGCGCTGTATGCTGGCAGCGCTTGCCCCTCGCCAAGTTTGCTGGGGGTTCTTTGAGAGTTCTACTGGGCCCTGCCGATGGTTTAGGGCTGTTTTGGATTGATCCTTAAACCCTATAAGCCCAGAATCCTAAACTCCTAAACCTTAAACCCGAAACCCTAAACCCTTAAAAGAAGCCCGAACAACCCCAAACTTGCGAAGCCCCAGCAGCGTACTCCACCGTTGCGTCACAGGAACCCTATGAAGGATAGCTCTAGTTCACGGATTCAGAGGGCTTTTGTTCATACTTGACTAGCGGAAGTCCAACTCAGCAAGACTATCCGAACCCCAAGAACCCTTCGAAGAAACCTAGGCCCCCTAAACCCTAAACCCTGAACCCTGAACCCTGAACCTGAACCCTGAACCCTAAACCCTAAACCCTAAGAACCTTGCAGCCCTTGGTTCGCCAACAGTCCCCGAAAATCTCCCTCGTGTCAGGTGAGCTGCTCCTTACCGTCCTTGACCCACAGTCAAGGTTGACGGGGGGAAGGGTTTAGGGTTTAGGGTTTAGGGTGTAGGGTTTAGGGTTTAGGGTTTAGGGTTTAGGGTTTAGGGTTTAGGGTGTAGGGCTTGGGGCTTAGGGCTTAGGGTGTCTAGGGTTGAGGGTTTTCAGGTCTTGGCCCTGTAGCTCGAAAACCCAAAAGCCCTAAAAGCATCAACTGAATCCCGATACCCCGAAGCCCTAAACCCTAAACCCTAAACCCTAAACCCTAAACCCTAAACCCTAAACCCTAAACCCTAAACCCTAAACCCTAAGCCTCAGCAGTCCTATGACTTGTCCAGAGGAGCCCAGGACAGAGTTGAAGGAGTTCTGGGATGGTACTTGGTAGCCCAGTGGTACCCCTTTTAGGGTTTAGGGTTTAGGGTTTAGGGTTTAGGGTTTAGGGTTTAGGGTTCAGGTTTCCTTTATACAGGAACCAACCCGAAAAAAGGGGTGCCCTTATTATCAAATGGTTCCTGGGCTAGAAAGGGTATCGCGGTTGCTTGTCGGAGGGGTAGTGGGTTTAACCCTGAACCCGAAACCCTAAAACCTAAACCCTTATTTAAGGGTTTACGGCTTTAAGGCTTGAAGTGTTGAAGGGTTTTGTGTTGAAGGGCTGAGGGTGTGGTAGTTCTTGAACCCCAACACCCCAACCCCTAAAGCCCTAGGGTTGTTCAGGGTTTATTAGGGTTTATTAGGGTTTGTTAGGGTTTGTTAGGGTTTATTCGGGTTTATTAGGGTTCAGGGTTTAGGGATCTGGGTTCAGGGTTCGGGGTTTAGGGTTTAGGGTTTGGGGTTTAGGCTTATCCGAAAACTCAACCTCTCAAACTTGCCGTGTCTCCTTGAAGCTCTCCGAAAGCCAGGTCGCAGATCTCCAGAGAGCTGTATCTCGACACCTTGCTGAAGGTCTGGGGCAGTCTGGGGTTTAGGGTTTAGGATTTAGGGTTTAGGGTTTAGGGTTCCAGGGGGGGGGGGGGGGTCGGGGGATCCTGATCCCGAAGCCCGAAACTTTAAACTCTACTAAACCCCATGGCTAGCACCCTCCTTCCTTTTGGATGAGGATCCCGTTACGTCGAAGCCTAATGAAGCCGAATAAAGATCTTGGCTCCCTCCCCCCCCCCCCCCGCACGTTTTAAATGTGCTAGCCTGCTACATCTTGGCCTTCTGGATTTGTTCCAACAGGCTTGCTTAGAAGAAAGTCACGCAGTCAAGAGAATTGCTTCACAAGTTGTGTTCCAACACCTTAAAGAATGTTGTGTTCGCAAATGGGGCTGGCTGTGCCAAGACACACTTCTTGGAAAAAAAACACAAAGCCGCACGAAAACCCAGCTACCCTCAGGCAAGCCGAGCCAAGCCAAGCGCCTAGACAAAAACAGAAGCCCTGCGCCCAAGCCACACCCTAAGCTAAGCTGAGCCAGGCCAAACTCCAAGCCAAGCCAAACCCCAAGCCGAGCCGAGCCGCACCACAGAACAAACAACGCACCAGAATTATTAGCCATATATTGCTGCCGACTCTGTCTTCTTTGTTTCCCCACCCTCGGTGTGGGGTTGTTCGATTTTAAGCTCAACTCTCCTCCTCGCCCGGACTTCTTCTCCTCGCCCGGTCTACTCCTCGCTCATCCCTGGAGTGCCCAACCGCAAACCGCAGAGCGTCCTGGGAGTACCCCCAGAGTGTCCCTGGAATGCCCAACCCAGAGTGTCCCTGGAGTGCCCAACTCCAGTGTCCTTGGAGTGCCTAACCCCAGACTGTCCCTAGAGTGCCCAACCCCAGAGTATCTCTCTCCAGAGAGGGTGGGGATGTTCGAAGCATTTTTTTTTTTTTGGGGGGGGGGGGGGGGGGGGGAGTCCAGAAAGCTCAGAGTTCCGGGTTGAAGGACTCTCTAAGCCCAACACCCTCCTCGAAACGCTAGAATCTCCCTAAACCCTGTGCCCTACGGATATGAAGCAACCTGATACTACTCGCCCTAATCCCCAAAAGTGTCACAAGCTAGGATTCTTTTAGGGTTGCCACCAGGTCAACCGATGGCGAAGTCCCACTGGAAAGGACTGACGCGCGAACTTCAGTCATCTCCAGTCGCCCTGATGGCGCCTCTGGCTGTGGCCAGAACTCTACCAGCCCCGAAATCTGAACCAACCTGAGTCCTAACCCTAAACCCTAGACCCTTAACCCTAAACCCTAAACCCTAAACCCCAAACCCTAAACCCTAAACCCTAAACCCTAAACCTTCATTAATCTTCGGCCCACAAGCCCGGCGACTCTGCACACTTCGGCTCGACTCCCAGCCTTCAAAGAAGGGGAGCCGTGTCAAATCGGATAATGCACCAAGGGCCTTAGGCCCCAGTTGGGGCTCAGGCAAGTGTCAGGGTTTAGGGTGGTGGGGTTTAGGGATTAGGGTTTAGGGATTAGGTTTTATAGGGGTTTAGGGATGAGGATTTTAGGGTTTAGGGTTTAGGGTTTGAGGGTTGACCAGGGTTAACCCCCGAGCCAACACACCAGTGGCTTCTAGAGGCAACGCTGGAGAAACTTCCTGTGTCGCAATCTGGGGTGTTCATGGTACTTAGTACCCCAATTATATTTGCACTTATATCCCAGTCATAGCCCTATTAGGGCAGGCTAATAGGTGGGTTATAACTACACATACCATTGGGTTGTAAGTACCCAGAACCTCCAAGCAACTTGGGGGGGGGGGGGGGGGCAGGCGTGTGGTGCATTCTCCGACCCACCATGGGATGCAAGTGTCCAGTGAATTTGCCAGCATCATGTGGTAGGAGCGCCCGGAGGTTCGTGTGAAAATCCTTAAGCCGCCAGGCCTTCAAGCGTCGATGGCCACTGGCAGAAGCCTGCTCCTAGCATATGTGCTGCCAAGGAAATTCAGGGAAGTTTTCAATATTGGGATGCCCAGTTGGGGCCCATGTTCCCTTGTTCCCGTACAAACTCCTTTACTAATACACCAAAACTTGCTCTTGTTCTTGGGATACTGGGCTATCTAGAACCTAACGTCCAGGTCAGTTTCAAGGCGCACGCCCTCCAGGGGCGTGTGAAACGAATTACTCTGGCCCTCTTTGCGAAAGGCAGTGCCCTGGAGTCCCAGAGTGCTGAGAAAGCTCAGCCCCTCACTCGCAGCTCGCAGTTGGCAGCCGAAAATGCGCAGCGCCTGAAGCCAAAGCCCTGCAAACCCTAAACACTCATCGAAACTCGCATAAGGTTACGTATCCGAAGTATGAGCAAACCGGAGCCTGGCAATCCAGAGCTTAGGAGGGGCAGGGTAAACGCCTGAGCACAGTGCCTATGCGACTTCCTGCGCCGCAGCTGTCAAACGGCTCAAATGCCGACAACGCGTTGCTCCCCCCCAAAGACTTGCGACTACAGGGTAGAGTTATCTCATATCCCCCGCCCTCTATGACTTCTACGTTTCTCCTGGCAACCACTCTTGTTCATCTGAGCAGTCCCTTCAACAACGTACCTGCTCCCCATACCCAAGCCTGGGGGGCTGACTCCCCCCCTGGTAGGGTTTGGGACCCCTGAACCCCTCAACCTCGGGATGTTCCCCTTTATACGAACAGCTGCTTGCCAGGGATTCTAACAGGGTGGTACGAGAGTCCCTATTGAGGGCTGTTAACATGGGGTTTAGGGTTTAGGGTTTAGGGTTTAGGGTTTAGGGTTTAAGGGAGCATCCCATCCTCAACCCGATAAGCCCTACAAAGCCTGAGCCCTCGGCGACTGACTGCTATTTGTTTAAGAACCCGATTATTATCTTTCACTGTTTGTTTAAGAGCCCCCTTTGTTACCTTTTAGCATTTGTTTAAGAACCCGGCTATTATCCTTTACTATTTGTTTAAGAACCCGACTATTTATCATTTCTTTCTTGGGGGCGTTCTGAAGCAAACAGTAGCTGAGAGAAACTGCTCATGAGACCGCACGATGCGTCTCCGCGAGCTGCCCAGGTGGTGGCTATCGAGGCGCGATTCCCGAAGCCCGAATCCTTGAAACCCTGAACCCTAGGCCCTAAACCCTAAACCCTAAACCCTAAACCCTAAACCTAAACCCTAAACCCTAAACCCTAAACCCTAAACCCTAAACCCTAAACCCTAAACCCTAAACCCTAAACCCTAAACCCTAAACCCTAAACCCTAAACCCTAAACCCTGCAGGCTTCAGAAGTCCTCGAAGCTGTGCCTTCAATCCACTCAGACGTGTCAAGCTTCATGACAGCGTAAGCCCAAGCCTAGGGATTAGGGTTTAGGGTTTAGGGTTTAGGGTTAGGGTTTAGGGTTTAGGGTTTAGGGTTTAGGGTTTAGGGTTTAGGGTTTAGGGTTTAGGGAGCCCTAAGTTCATGGCTTGGAGTTCCATATGATGCCGCGAAGGCTCCATTCTGCAGCGGCCCACAGCCTGCGGCTCTGGAGACGCCGACCGACATGGATTTAGGGGGGCTTCCCCAAACTCAGGGTTTAGGGTTTAGGGTTTAGGGTTTAGGGTTTAGGGTGTAGGGTGTAGGGTGTAGGGTGTAGGGTGTAGGGGGTTCCTAAAATAAGGATTCTTGGTTCGGGAGCTACAACAGTACTGTCTAGAGTCTTCCGCGTCCCAAAGCAAGGGTGGGAAGCTGCAACATGAACCTGCACTGCTTTGCATGTAGGAATAAGTTTAGTGTTTAGGGTTAGGGTTTAGGGTTTAGGGTTTAGGGTTTACGGTTTAGGGTTTAAGGTTTAAGGGTTTAGGGTTTAGGGTTTAGGGTTTAGGGTTTAATTAGAGGGTTGAAATTCGACTTCCACCAGAAGCAGCCGAACCTCAGTCTGAACAGCAATAAACGCTCAAGGGGCGCTCAACGTGCAGATTGGTGCCAACAGTGGGACCAGATTCTTTTGTCGAGCTCATCATCTTCTTCGCCCCACTCCGTTGCTCATGCTGCTCATGCCGCTGTCCCTTTTAGGGTTTAGAGTTTACGGTTTAGGGTTTAGGGTTTAGGGTTCAGGTGGTGAGAATCTCAAGTCACCACAGAGACGCCGCCAACGAGAACCGTTTTCTGAGGTCCTAGCGGAGACAGAGAGTTATGGCCAGGCATGTGCCGGCATATACCTTGGGCTCGCCCGCCGGCCGCACCCGGCATACCCGGGCTGGCCCAGTCATACTCAGGGACGCCTGGCCCCTGAGCGTATTTCCCAACAAGGGGGCTCCCCATTGAAGGAAGCCCCCGAAAAGGGTACCGCTAGTTAATTGGGAGCCCCAGATACCGGGAGCTGAGTATGGCTCAGGCTCAAACGTTGGGCTCCGCGGAAGTTGACGACATGTCTGGGCACCCGCTCCCTACCCGCCCCCTTCCAAAAAAAAAAGATATGCAGAAGAGCAGAACCGCAAAGACATGGGGACAAGTTCTCCGATCCCTTGTCGTAAGACCCATTATAGAATAAGACACCCTCTACACCATAGCAAGGACGCCCCCCCAAAAAAATGATTAAAAAAAACATACAAAACAAAAGAAAGACACTGACTTTGAGAAGCACCTGTAGACACCAAGCCCCAAAAAAACAACCCCAAACCCTAGACCCTCAACCCTAAACCCTAAACCCCCTGCGGCCCAACAATCAGGAGAGCCAGAATGGCCTCTGCTCGTCGGCAGCATCGTGCTCTTTGCGCCTGGGCCACGGACGGTCGAACCAAAGCCGAGTATTGAGTGGGTTTAGGGTTTAGGGTTTAGGGTTTAGGGTTTAGGGTTTAGGGTTTAGGGCTTCAAGGTTGAGAGTTTTGGGTTTAGGGTTTTAGGGTTTTAGGGTTTTAGGGTTTTAGGGTTTTAGGGTTTTAGGGTTTTAGGGTTTTAGGGTTTTAGGGTTTTAGGGTTTTAGGGTTTTAGGGTTTAGGGTTTAGGGTTGAGAGTGGGTCGCCTTCTGAGCCTTAAAGGCCTAACCCGAAGGGCTCATCCCTAAGCCCATCTAAACCAACTTCTTGAACCACGAGTGTACTATAGGGGTCGGAATAAGTACCAATTGATTGGTTGATTGATGGGCAAAGAAGTCCCTGCAGCAGAAAGTTTCGCTGCATGGGACAATAGTATTCCCTTGGTTTCTTGTAAGTATGCTACATAATGAACCCCAAAGGCCTATTCTAATTATTAAGGCCCCCTATATTAGCCCTTGTTTCCCAAGGAGCTCAAACAAAAGGATGCGTAGATTCTGTTTTCTGAAACTTGGGGTAACCCTTCTGTGCTACCCCCGCCCCTCCCCAAATAGTTTTATCCTAATCATACACATAGGTACCCGAAATTCGGCAACACATTCTAGGCCCCCTTGGCTTGCTTCGCAAGGTTGAAGGACAGGATGCCTGGACTAGGGTTTAGGGTTTAGGGTTTAGGGTTTAGGGTTTAGGGTTTAGGTTTTAGGGTTTAGGGTTTAGGGTTAGGGTCTTGAATTGCATGAAAATAGGCTTCACATATTAAATGGGGAGGGGACCCTTAACATGGACCCCCAAATAGTGGGATCCCCTTCTAAGCAGGACCCTAAGAAGGTGCCCCTACTGTCGTAAATCCTAAACCCTAAACCCTAAACCCTAAACCCTAAACCCTAAACCCTAAATCCCCATTGATCAACGACAGCCGAACCCGAAAGCGGATATTCCTCATTGAGCGCTGGGTATGGAGTCTTATTTCAAGGGTCTGGAAGCCCAAGGGACCATTCCACGACCCTAAACCCTATAAACCCTATAAACCCTATAAACCCTGTAAACCCTAAGCCCTCGGGCGATGGTGAGCTTCTTAAGGCCTTAGGGCGCGTAGACCCTCGAAAGCTAGGTCCCTAAACCCTAAACCCTAGGTCCTTCTTGATCCACTACGTCGGTTACCGGCTGGCGCTACACCAGATCCCCTCGCCCCTCACCGGGGCGCCTCGGTGATAGAAGGATCTTCGGGGGTTTTGTTTTCAAATGCGGCATCCCCGGCTTCGTCCAGAAACGCCTCACTTTCGGGTTTGGGGTTTAGGGTTTAGGGTTTAGGGTTTAGGGTTTAGGGTTTAGGGTAAGTTCAATCATCCGTATGGCAGCGCAGTGGCGTTGACTGGCTGTCCAATGGCATGTTGAATCCTGCTCAATGGACCCTGTAGATCCTCTAAATCCTTGAAACCCTAAACCCTTTAAACCCTAACCCCTGAACCCTAAGCCCTAAGCCCTAAGCCCTAAGCCCTAAGCCCTAAACCCAAGCGGGTTGCCTGTCAGGCACCCATCTTCCAACCGGCTCGCCTTCAGCTCAGCATTTGCGGTAGGACTCGGGCGGCAAGCACCAAACCCAAAGAAGCCCCAAGGCGTCAAGGTGGGGCTTAGGATTTCGGGTTTAGGGTTTAGGGTTTAGGGCATAGGGTTTAAAGGGTGGTACCCTGGTTTGCCCCAATTTGCAGTGTTTCTCGGGCTCCCGAAGCCCCTGAACCCTGACCCTATACCCTCGCTTTAAAGCCTAAAGCCCGAAACATTTGGATTCAAGACTGCAGGGGAATGTTGAGCCGTCGGCTGGCTTCTCAAGCCCGAAGCGTATGCACAAAACACTCCCACACCGAACCCTGGAGCCCAAACTCCATGAATCCTAGGTAGGAAAGGGGGGGACCCTTAAAAGGGAACCCTTCTGAACCCTCTTCTGGCTCTCGTAAACAGGGACCTTATTCAGAGGGTCAAAATCCGCAAATGGACTCCCTCAACCACCCTTACCCCAAAACCCTAAAGCCCCGAAGCCTTAGACCACACCCTACCCGTTTTGGGGTTTTATACTCCCTTATAAAGTTAAAGTAACCAACCCCAAAAAAGGGTGCCCTTAATACTAAGCTTACTAGTTGCAAGGCTACCAAGTTCCCTCGTTTTGGGCATGATGTTCTGGGTGTTAGCTGGAGGATCACTTGGAGTCATCGTCCGGAATCTCGGGCTTTCTTCGGGTTTAGGGTTTAGGGTTTAGGATTCAGGGGTGTAGGGCTTTGTAGAGTTTAAGGTTTATCATGGAGAGATAGGGCGGTCATACGCTTGTGCTCCAGCGGCAACGCTTCAACGCCCCGACCATGTACAGGCAGAAGGTAGCTCAGCTTATGGCCCGCCAAAGTGACAAGTTCTCATCCCACAGAGTTCTGTGATCACACGGTAGCAGCGATGCAGGAACTAACTATCATCGTACAGTAATAAACTGTATAGTGTGGCGAACAGATCGAAAGTACAATGAGTATATATCCATATATATATATATATGATACACAGATCTGTAAACCCTCAACCCTAAGCCCTAAGTCCCGTAGTGACTTCCTTTCAGTTCCTCAACAAGAATCCAGAAGGGTGTAGGGTTTAGGGCTACAGCTTCATACTTTTGGTGTTGCTTCCGCCTCTCATGGCCGATGAAGATGCAGACTTGGCTGCCGCCATTGCGATGTCACTGAATGAGACACCGGAAAGGCAACCTCCAGGCGGCCAGCCATGGACTGCTCATGCTCATGGCCGAAACCCTAAACCCTAAACCCTAAACCCTAAACCCTAAACCCTAAACCCTAAACCCTAAACCCTAAACCCCGCCACCTCCAGGTAGGCTGGTCCGGCACGTCATTGATGCCGACAACTCTTGCCTTTTCAATTCGTTCCTTGGCCGCGATCTTATTCGGGTTTAGGGTTTAGGGTTGAGGGTTTAGGGTTTAGGGTTTAGGGTTTAAAGGTTTAAAGGGTTTAAGGTTTAGGGTTAGGGTTTATTCGCTCAAGCCCGGAGCCTCAACGCCTGAAACCCTGAGCCTTGAAACCCTCAACGCTGAGCCCCACAATCCCCCCGACCCAAAGCCCTACACCCCAAACCCTCCGTCCAGAAGGGCTCGAGGTCTACTTCATGCAAATTGGGTTTTCAGGGTGTCCTGATTTCGCCTTCAACCTCGTATCAGATCCTCGAAGAGTCTGGTTTGTACACACACCCGAAACCTCAAACCCTAAACCCTAAACCCTAAACCCTAAACCCTATAGGGTCTAGGGTTTCATAGACACACCCAGGATCGCCTATGCGCTGGAAGGCGCACCCTTCCTTGTTGCCACTGTTGGAGAAGATCCACGAAGACCCAACAACGACGGCTCAGGGGTAGGGTTTGGGGTTTAGGGTTTAGGGTTTGGGGTTTGGGGTTTGGGGTTTAGGGTTTAGGGTTTAGGGTTTAGGGTTTAGGGTTTAGGGTTGGGTCTCGGGCTGAGCTGAAACTGTTCCTTTGTCTGTGTCCATGAGCGGCTCTAGTATGCATCCAACACCTTCAACCCTAGATGTGAAGGCTGGTGTTGCGTGCAGGGCCTGCACACACAAGCTCCAAACCCTAAACCCTGTTCTTAAACTCTACACCCTATTCCTAAACTCTAAACCCTATTCCTAAACCCCGAAACCCTACAGCTCTTCATTCTTAAGACTGCGGAGAAAACTCTAAGGCCCTATAAGTCTGGAAAGAGAATCCTGATGCACCCTCGTCTGCTTTGGGGAAAGCCTGTGCCCTAAACCCTCAACCCTAAACGCCGAACCCTACAACCCTAAACCCCGAACCCTAAAACCCTAAACCTTGTAGGGTTTTTGGAGGGCTTTGGGCCTGGGGCGATCCCTATCCTTCAGCAACTTGAGATCAGAGGCGGCGCAGCGGACAAGGCGCCAATGCTGCGCGAGACTGTTGCCGCGATCATCCTCTCCTCGCCCGACACGCCCCTCGGCTACCTGCTCAGCTGACTTGACATCCCAGTAGTGCTCTTTACCCCTTTTGTGGAGGGGGTTCTGGGTTCCCTCCATGTAGAGTAACCATCCCAAAGAAGGATGCCCTTAGCATAATGCGGTTCCTGGGCTACCTTAAGACGATTTGGCATGCGTGCATGTCTGTGAATATTTCGCCATGCTGCATGTGGCTAGATTGTAGTAAATGTAGTATGTACGGTATAGTACCGAGTATCGTAGAGGGATTGGATTGGCATGCGGTGTAGACCATGGAGTGGGCTGTCCTAGAAGACAAGGCGCTACGTAGAGGTGGGATGTAGACCGGGTTTAGGGCTTGCCAAAATGGGCTTTTTTTACCCTCTGACCCCTTAAAGCGGCCCTTTGTAGGGTGGATTATGACAAATTCTATGGCCTGATAGGGTTTTTGGAGTTGGTTTTTGGAGTGGGTTTCTGCATCCCCCCCACCCCCCCCCACCCCTCTTGAAGCCATTCGCAAGAGAAGGTGGCCAGAGGTGGTTCTGGGGAAGAGTCCCGAGGACTACGCCGACTGGCAGCCGTGCTGCATGGGAAGAAGGGCCGTGGGCTTAGGGTTTAGGGTTTAGGGTTTAGGGTTTAGGGTTTAGGGTTTAGGGTTTAGGGTTTAGGGTTTAGGGTTTAGGGTTTAGTTTCGGTTTACGGTTTGGGGTTTAGGGGTCTCAAGGACCCCAAAGCTACCTTGTGGATGACATGAACCCCTTGAATAGGATTTTACACCCTTAGCATGCTCCCTATTTTGTGGACCATAAGCCCTTTTAGGGCTGATGTAGTCCCCAAAATATGTAGTTGAGGGGCGCAGGAAGGGTTCGGGCGGGCAGGGGGGGGGGGGGGGGGGGGGGGGTTTCGTGCTCAAGTTCCTGACGCTACGCACTTCGGCCATTTGGGATTTTTAGGGTTTAGGGTTTAGGGCTTAGGGTTTAGGGGTTTGGGATTCCATATCAACCCTGACCCGGAGCCCAGAAGCTCAGTCCCTATTGCTGTGCGGTCATGTGAAACAGCACAAAGCCATTTGAGAATCTTGAACTACATGCTCGCAGCATACTTTAGTATCCCTACGTCGCAAACCCGGAAGCCTGTAAACCTGAAGCTCTGAATCCTCGAAGCCCCAACGCTGACCGGTTGAATCCTAAAGCCCTCGCGTCCCGAACTGCAAGGAGCCCTAGAAACAGGCTTGGCGTGTGTTTGCGGGTTGTTTTAGGGTTTAGGGTTTAGGTTCTAGGGTTTAGGGTTTAGGGTTTAGGGTTTAGGGTTTAGGGTTGCGGTGCCTGGCCGTATCAGGCCCGATTCTCAAGTTTTCGGGCTTGGCCTTTTTTTTGGGCCAAACTGCATTTGACGACGGCCGCGCTTCTTGCAAGCAAGCCCCCACGTACTAAACCCTAAACCCTAAACCCTAAACCCTAAACCCTAAGCCCATAGCTCCTCATGTACTGAGGATCCAAGACCCCCAGCATTGGGGTGGCGGCATTGAGCTGGCCATCCTAGCGGACCATTATGCTGCTTGGAGTTTTTATGGGGAATAAGGCGTTGGGTCCCTAAACCCTAAACCCTAAGCCCTAAACCTTAAACCCTAAACCCTAAACCCTAAACCCTAAACCCTAAACCCTAAACCCTAAACCCTAAACCGCAGCTCTAGCTTAGTTACTAGCTACTAGCCCTTAGTAGACAATCTAAATCTGGGAATCAGGCATGAACGCCTGAGAAACCCCTGAAGTCTGAAGGGACGATAGCTACAAAGCAGGAGGTGCCAACTAAGAATCTAAGAGTAGTTTCATGGTCCCTTCATGTGGTCCCTTGACCTTTCTAGAGGGTTCTGATGTGTGGGCCCTGCTTTTTGTATAGGGTATGTAAGGGGTACCCTTTTAAGGGCCCATACTTAGGGACCATGCAACTATTCCAAGAAAGGACCGGTAACTCAAAGCGTACATGAAGACGGCCAGAGCTCTGTCGCACGGCGATTTCGGGTTTAGGGTTTAGTAGCTAGGACCCATAGAGGGGCCCCATTCCCCTTCTTATTAGGATTTAGGTTCCCTTCTAAGCCTCTTTAAACAAACCAAGTGCACCCCGTTTATTCCTAGGTTTCTCTTGCGTCTGGGTAGGGTTTGGCTTAGAGATGAGGACCGGGAGGGTTTCGAGTTTATGCTTCGGGCCACCCCCACACGCTTCTTGCACCCGGCGACCGAGGAAACGGAGATTGCTGCCTTTGACTGCCAAACCCTGCGGGTTGACATGTTCGGCGAACATAAGAGCATCTCGACAGGCAAGGTGCCCTAAACCCTAAACCCTAAACCCTAAACCCTAAACCCTAAACCCTAAACCCTAAACCCTATAAAAGCCCGAAAACAGCCACCTGTAGCCTCAAGTCCTCATGCCTCAGAGACCTGCGATCGCAGAGGCGTGAGCCCTGGCCTTTAATTACATGCGGTCTAAGGGGTGGGTTTAGGGTTTAGGGTTTAGGGTTTAGGGTTTAGGGTTTAGGGTTTAGGGTTTAGGGTTTAGGGTTTAGGGTTTAGGGT